ATACGAGTCAACTCGTAGAAGCCAGTATTCTTCGCCACTTTCTCCGCCACTCATTATTCCACTTACTCGGACCAACACACAGTGACACATCAGCCATCCAAATATTACGGGTTCTGAGAAACCACTGCCCGCCGCACCTCTTCTCTCCACCTGTGTTGGTTGACTTTCCTAGAGGACACCCTACTCGTTGGCATGACAAACCCTGTATGATCACCTATTGTGTATGGATCCCTGACCCAGGGTGGTAATCTCCCACCCGGAGCGCGGCTGTCGTCCTACCGTTACTGTTCTGATAAATACATTTATCCCGACCTTCAAGCCAGCCTCAGTGCTAGTTCGTGGCTTATATTCTTCACTATTTGATCCACACTCTCTCTTCTTATTCCTCAGCCAGGACACTCACTCCGTTGTTTTGATTGTTCTCGCGAACGCGAGAGATCTGAGCTGTTGAATCCACTTGATGGATTACACGCTCCAATCGAAGCCTCTTCACAAACCTGGGGTCAGCAGGGTACAAAAATCCGCCGTTCCAGTCTTTACACGGAGAGTAAGAACTCCCACCAAATTGTTATAGCTAGAGAGTCCCACCGGCCCCTGTGCGGGTTACTCTGGTCAAGCGTACTCCTGCAACTGACATCCCCATCCATGCAACAAGGGATGCCACCCACACAGAATCGTGAGCGGCAGGAGGGCGGGTTGTTAGCCAGGTCTACTTTTTCCATGCAATAAGCTGGGGACGATAGGTTTTCGCCACCCATTGTGTCTGCGCGAATTTAGAGTGATTGACATGGGCACGAGAGCGCTATCTGGCTTCCACTTCCAAAGTGAACCTGAGGCGATACGAGAGAGTGTTAGTTTTAATACAGTCATATAGGAGTAATCATAAGACAACATGGACCGCCCTCAGCCTGCTGCACGTTTACACGTGATATTGTAATCTCTTGTTAGCACTCTCTTAGAGAGGTCAAAATCGACGATTCTCTTTCCGTTCCAGTTGTCTGCAGTATGAGAATGTAAGAAAAGGATTCTGCTTGCATCGCGCGTCAAGACCAGATGCGCCACCACTTCCTTCCTATAGAGACGACTGACTGATGTTCAAAGATGCTCCCCATTATCAGCTCTAACTTCCAATAACTTACATCTTGCCCAAAGATCAAGGACAGTGAGCACTAGCAGGCACTGGCAGAGAAGTAAGTCGCAATGGCTGGGAGCTACACATCGAACAAGCCCATCCCGCTGATTAGAACGAGATAAGAGCTAGCCCAACCCTCTCATCCGACACTCGTGAGATGATCGGCTCACTGAGCAGCCTGGGCTTGCTTCCGCACCTTTTACAGGTCATTTCCCGAGCTAATACTTTTTCATTCCCTCTACATCCCCAAAGCTCTCGCGGTGCAGACAGACACAAAGGCAGTAAGCATAAAGTGGCGGACAGTGCTTGAATTCCCTGTTTATATTGCGAAAAAACTGGTCTGAGTATTATGACCAAATATGAAAAATATTAACAAACCAAGATACTGGTCTATAGTTCCTGATATACTTCACTCACACTCGATCGAAGAACACCTACTATCAAGAACGAGCTGCTGTTAAAAACTCAATTACTACAGACTGAGACTCCAAGAAAGTATATATGGGAATGTCAACGAACCTCAAACAAACATATGTGATCAGAAACGCCCTCGAACTTAGCAATGAACACTGACAGCAAGACAAAGCCGCAGACGGACATGCCCGTGTATCAATCTTCTGCTGATATTACCGCTTCTACAGAGCCAAATCTATCCACACTAACGGCCGTCAGAGACTGCTATCAACGATGAGCTCGCCACCACTATAACCAACTAAATATACAAATACACTAGCTTTAAACAACTAGAGAGATTGAAATCGGAAGCCACGCCCTCCAAAGGCATTATGGATTGCCAGACATTGTGCCGTCGACGAAGATCCAATTAGGCTGTAAGTCTCAAGCTTGAACAAGTATTCTCAGGTCCATCAGCAGCCGTTTGCGCACAACACAAATTGTTGCCCAGACAGGAGGAGATCACACCATTCACCCCCCATCCAGGATTTAGCCCCTCAAACAAATTAAAGATGATTAATTAGTGAGGTCAGATGAAGCTTCATTGAGCACTGAAGCCTTTTCATCCAATTGGTTCACCCCACCGCCAAAGCTTCTAGCTTCATGGCTCTATAGGTGTCTAGCGTACCGGACGTAAAGTCCCACATTTATAATATGGTGTGCTTTTCCTGTATTTAAATTTGAGAGGTGTCGGTCCTTTTGCACACATGACTCTAAAATGATCTGAAGCATTAGTCAACACACATCGGAATGCTGAACAAACACCCACACGTAGCTATTCATTTGTATCTAGTACATACAGTGTAATGATATACTGACATGTGTCTAATTAGTTTTATACTGGCAGTATAAGCAACAGAATTTCATCTATTTTGATGATAATATGTGCTTAAATGGAAATATAGCAAATCATATATTAACTGTTACCAGGTGAGGAAATAGTGTTTGGCATCACCTGGTTTCATCGCTACCGTGCTCGGCTGTTTGTTGCTTATAATAGATAAAACAGGTTGACATGATTCTATGATGTGCAATAATCAAGCCGGACAGCTACCACAACCCGAAGCCGACACTCCCGTCCCCTGCCCCTATCTCATATGTTCCAATGTATTATCAGCTAAGGAAAAGACCTCTATGATCATTCACTAGAGCTTAATCTGACTGTTACTAAGCCACATTTTTAAGTGGTGCTGGAGAACATGGTTTACGGGTCTGCATCGCAGTGCTGTAGTGCCTAGATTTAACCTGCTGATCCAAAAACAAACTCTTATTCGAAACATCCCTTTCCTAACCACAATGCCTAAATCGGACTGAAGGAAGTGTAGGATCCCTCTCGAATCACCATGCTAACCCAGGATCTTATCACTACGTCAAATTATCCAGCAACATTAGAATTCTCTGAGGCATATAGAATGATAAAAAAACAAAACGCAACAATTAATATCCACGACACAACGCTAACTATGAATCTACTCCGTAAGGTTGTCAATGTGTTGATGTTTGATGATATTTTGTGTATATCATTCAGTAACATACGGAATGTATTTTTTATCTGATTGGCATTTGATGGTTCTACGTGGTGTCGTTGTGCTCCATCTATGCGCTGTCTGGTTGAGTGAAGTCTCATTGATCCCAAAAGCTCGTAGTGACTTAACCATAGTATGACGGTAGGTTGTGTTTATTCAACTAACTGCTACCGATGTCCCGTGCTTCTGCCCGTGACGGCGAAAAACAACTGGCTTCACCTTTGCTACAGTCCATAAGTCAATATACAGAACCGCTCCACCAGGAGCTCAGAGACAGGAGGTAAGACACAATAGAGACAATAGTTAATCATTGCACCCTCCCAAGTGTTATGAAAATCCTTCTAGCCGACTCCTCCCCCCACCAGCCCAGCCCACAAGACCTTCCCCCCCTGCCAATTTTTTGCACATGTTCTCTTCCAGAGAGAGCCCAAGACGCCACCAACAACACAAGCACATACGCTGTCAGGCTACATTTCACTGTGTGTCTATATATATTTTAGGTATAAAACTATGCAGTGACAAATAATAAGACCTTAAGACTTTAACCATTCTTCTGTAGAAATGACCTTGTTCGAAGAGGACACATATGATCAAAAAATGTTGCCATAGCGGCAGAGGTCCACGCCGGCCATCCCTCCATAATTACATTAGGCTCGGCTCCATTCCTCTCCCTGATCCTCTCATGCTTTTTCAACTCTCCTCACTTCTCACTAATCTGCCAAACTCTCCTCCAAACTGTCTATAAAAACCCACAAGCGTCTCATCGAGACACAACCCACATTTTTGACTCTGCAGATTCGGTGCGTGGGAACTTCCTATTCAGGAGTTTTGTATCGCTTAGTCCACTATTATCTCTCTGAACTAAGGTACGTTACACAAGAACCGAAAAAAGCTCAACTAACACATTTACACTACACCGGCAGCAATACTCGTGGTCTACTTGCCACTTAGACAGGGAACCCAGTACCAAAGTAATGGGGGTGTTCATACATAGCTTTCATTGGCACCCAGCTTCGAGCTCTTGCTGGACTACTGGACTATTAGGTGAAGAGGTGCTTGACCAGCTATGCAAAAGAGGGTAAATTGATATTATGTATTATGGGTGAAGTTATGAGCTAAGGAAATGATACTGTAAGTGTGTGGGTACAGTGGTGTGCTGTACGGGATGGACTACAACTGAGCGTAGTCTGCTTACGAATTTTCATGCTTTACTGTGGAACAACTGGGATTACAAATCTTGAATTTGCTCCACAAGCTAACTGGGTCCAATACTGCTCCGGTATCTATTGAATTTCTAAAGAATAAGAAAGCCAAATTTACCACGTACTTATTACTTATGATCATTAGTACAACGCTTTAATCTATGGCACGGCTGTACAACGTTCCATCAGCAAGCTTGTATGCTAACATGGTTGTTACATTGCACATAGCAAAACTCACTCAGAAAGCCCTTCAATGTGCTCATATATGAAAATCTACCCCCCCAATTTGCATGTGAGAGTGTCGGCACATCACGTGTGTATCGTAACAGCATGACTAAGACTTGACTTGTTCTTAGAATTACTCTGTGGAATAAGACAAAAGTCCGGAGAATCCTCTTCTATGGCCATTCCGTTCCTCTCTCCCAGCCCTTTGCCACACCTTTTGCCAGACAGGAGGAGACACCAACCCCCAGGTAACTCAAACAAAGAAAGATGTATTAATATAACATAAAACAGAACTTTGACCTTGCAAGGTTAATATGTGTGCACGCCATATAAACATTGGAAGGTGTGATGGAAAAATGAATACATTTAATAAAGAAACGATATTGAACAATAAATAGAATATTTTAAAGTAGTGACTGTAAATTAAACTAAAGTGAATCAACGGGTGGTGAGGTGTGGAGCTTACCATGTGTGGCATGCCATCACACACCTCCCCTCGCTGGAACAGCGAGAGAGATAGTCAGCAGTAAGGTTCTCCTTGCCTGGTACGTGGTGGACAGTGAATCGGAATGGCTGTAAGGCCAGGTACCAGCGGGTAATTCGCCCATTCGTGTCCTTCATCTGCTCAAGCCACTGTAGTGCTTTGTGATCAGTTTCCAAGGTGAAGTCTCTTCCCAGTAGATAGTAGCGGAAGGAGTCCAGGGCCCACTTGATCGCTAAGGTCTCCTTCTCTACTGTGGAATACCGAACTTCCCGTGGAAACAGTTTCCGGCTGATGTAAGCCACTGGATGGCGGCCGTTCCATGGTTTCCTGAAGGAGGACAGCTCCCAGGCCCCGATCTGAAGCATCAGTCTGTAATATGAACGGTTCATCAAAGTTGGGACTGTACAAAACCGGTTGCTTACTTAGTGACTGTTGTATGTCATGAAATGCTGCCACTGCCTCCTCTGTCCACTGGATGTAATTGGGATGGATCCATGCAAAGCTTTGCCTAAACCCTCCTCCTCAAGATTAGTCCAATGGATACTGCTGCATGCGTACCCGACCAAGCTTAGGTTCCATAGGAACTTGGCGTTGGGAGTAAGCGTGAACCGAACGCTTCACTGGGATGAAACGACGGTAGAAACCTGCCATGCCCAAAAAGGATCTCAGCTGCTTCCTTGTTTGGGGCAGGGGGGATGATTCCATGGCCTCATCTTCAAGTAAGCAGCAGCAAAGTCAGAGCAGTCATGTAATACCTGATCCATCAGCCGTTGGAAAGTTGCTGGAGCTCCATGTAGTCCAAATGGCAAGACTGTAAATTGGAAAAGCCCCCATGGTGTTCTGAATGCTGTGAACTCTCTGGACCGTTGAGTGAGTGGGACCTGCCAGTAACCCTACCACTATGTGTACGTCAGAGTTCAAGTAATGTCGGGTAGTCCATGATGGTTCAGGTACCTTGCTTTTCCCAGACGTTCAAGTAGATCATCAATTCTTGGTGTCGGGTAGGAGTCAAACATGGATATGGAGTTCAGGTACCTGAAATCAATGCAGAACCTCATACTCTCATCCTTTTTGGGTACCAAGACCACAGGGTTGCACCATTCACTCTTAGATCTTTCAATGATCCCTAGAGATAGCATCAAATCGATTTCCTTCTTCAATGAAGGCAGCAGACGTTCTGGGATCCTGTAACTTAATCGTCTCACAGAGGCACCTTCTCGTACCACAATATCATGTTCGACAATGTCAGTTCTCCCTGGATTCTCTTGAAAGACTGCTGATTTACACATTTCTCTCACCTGCTGCTGCTTGTCCTCTGGGAGATGGCTGAGATCATAATCCAGAGAGCCAGCAGGTGGTAGATATTGCTCATCTGCTTCATCTTCTTCAGGCACTCGCCGTATGAGCATTGCATCTGCCTTGTGTTCAATACGCTCCACCCACTCCTTCAGAAGGTTTATATGCAAGACCTTGCTGGAGCGCAACTGCCCTGGGGTGGACACCTCATATGTGGTGGGTCCCAGCTTCCTCATGACTTCAAATGGCCCCTGCCACTTTGCCAACAATTTGTTGTTGTCACTGGGGAGGAGCACGAGCACCTTTTGTCCTGGCTCAAACGCACGCTGACGAGCAGATTTATCATACCAAGACTTCTGCTGCTGCTGGGCCTCCACCATATGTGATTGAGCAAGTTCACTCATTTTCTCCAACCGTTCTCTCATCTGAATGACATAAGACAAAATGTTCTTGGAGTCCCTCCTCCACCTTGTCTCCCTCCCAGATCTCCTTTAACAGAGTTAGAGGGCCGCGAACCTCATAACCATACAGCAGTAAACCGGAGCTTGGATTCATAACAAAAGTAGAATGCACAAGATTCCGGCACCTACTGTTTAGAGAGAAAACACAGCAACTTATGGTGACAGACGACAGAAGTTCAGAGTACATTAATATATTATAAGCAAAGAGTAGATATGGCAGCCATTGATCCCAATCGTTACCACTGTCGTTGACAAACTTCCTGAGCATCTGTTTCAATGTCTGGTTAAACCGTTCTGTCAGCCCATCAGTTTGAGGGTGGTATGGTGAAGTTCTCAGACTCCGGATGCCCAACAACTGATAAACTTGCTTTAACAGAGTAGACATGAAGTTAGTGCCTTGATCAGTTAGTATTTCTCGTGGAAACCCAACTCTTGCAAAGAACTGCACTAAACAAAATGCAATGGGCTTGGCCTTTATAGATTTTAAAGGGAACACCTCAGGATATTTTGTGGCATAATCTGTTACAACAAGCATGTAACGATTTCCTGCTTTGCTCCTCTCAACAGGCCCTACAATATCCATTCCAAGACGCTCAAAAGGAGTGCCGATGACAGGGAGAGGTTGGAGTGGAGCTCTATGGGGGATTTTAGCAGATGTTATCTGACACTGTGGGCAACTTTTACAAAACTGAGCCACATCTTTGCTAAGACCAGGCCAGTAGAAATTATGTTTGATGCGAGCTGTGGTCTTGTGTTTACCAAGGTGGCCAGCCCATGGAATAGAATGCCCTAAGGTGAGAATGGCGTTTCTAACCTTCTGGGGAACCACCAGCTGCAGCACCGACCCCTGCTGACGATAGAGAATGTCATTTTGCAAGATGTACTCACTGTTAACCTGCTCCACTCCAGGTTCCTTTTCTTTGGCCTTCCGGAAAAGAAATATTAAAGATTGATCAGATTTTTGGAGTTCAGCAATTTCAGTTGGAATATTAAACCCTAGGGGTGACGGTGTTGGCTCAGCGTCTGTTAGTGTATCCACAGGTGAAAATTTGAATTTCTCCTGCCTTCTTTGTCTGCGGGTCTTCCGTGGCTTCACCACAGTTGTCTCAAACTCCTCATTAAAAAAAGGCAGGGCACTCAGGGTCTCAGAGTGGGTACTGACTTGCTTAGCCTGAGCTCTGGTAACAGCTACATTGCACTCCTCAGTCTGCTCAGACTCCAACAAATCAAAAAGCACAGGAAGGTCACGCCCTAACACGGCAGAGTAAGGCAAACTGTTCACAACACCCACATTCAGCAGATACATCTGGTCCTGAACTTTAATGTAGATGTCAGCTGTCGGATATCTTTTCTCATCTCCATGGACACAACAGATTGAAATTGTATCACTGGTGCGAACAATATTAGGTGGGGCAAAATCTGAGTGAATAAGAGACCGAGAACTGCCAGAGTCAAGAAGGGCATTGAGTAGAACCCCATTCACTTCAATCTGACTCATTTTGATGGATTTGTCACTCTCCTGCTCAGGATCAGCATTAGAACGAGGGGCAAAGCACATTTGCACCATTTTAGCAGAATTTCTTGGGCACATAGGTTTTGTATGGCCCTCTAATCCACAAAGATAACAAATGAGCTTCTTACCAGAGGCCTTTGGTGGTCTAGTGGTAGACTGAGAGGTCTTACTGGTGCTTGTATTTGCTGAATCCAGATGGTTTTGCTGAGGTATCTTCCGGGTGTCCCTCGATGCCTTCCATGCATTATGGCTCCATGCTTGCCCCTTCTTTCTGGCAGCAACAAAAACATCAGCTAACCGAGCCGCTTCCATTGCTGAACCAGGGTTGTGTTCTCTGATCCAAACCTGAAGCTCAGGAGATAACATTCTGAGAAACTGCTCCAAGATTATAGTTTCACCAATGTCATGAATAGTTTTACCCTTTGGCTGGATCCATTTCCCATAAAGCTCCTTCAGTCTCGCATATAGCTCACGAGGGCTTTCATCTGGTTGAACGTCCAGGGATCTGAATCTTTGCCTATATGTTTCAGGGTTAATGTCATATTTTGACAGAATAGCTGATTTCACTTTATCATAGTCTAATGAATCATCAATGTCCATGTGAACATAGGCACCTCTAGCTTTACCAGTAAGCAGGGTATCAAATGAAAAACCCAATCTGATTTCTGCCATCGATAAGCTGTAGCCATACGTTCAAATGTGATCAGGAAATGTTCAATATCATCAGCTTCAGTTAATCTTTCCAATCTGCCCTCTATTTGTAGGGGAAACTGAAATGCTGGTGAAATGGCTGGATTGGAATTAGTCATAACTGGTTCAGCCTGGGCCTGCTGAACAGAGGAAGAAGGATGAATATCAAACTCTAATGATTCAGAGCGAGCTTCTGCAGAATCTGATGGTGATGTTCTGACTTGGATTTCTGACTGCAGAAGTCTAAACTGATGTTGAAAGGCTTTAAATCGCTGTTCTTGTCGTGCATTTAACTCACTCTGTTTTGCATCCCGGCATTCCTGTTGTTCCATGTGAGCATGTAGCATATTGACTAGATCAGACAAAGTAGGCTCCTTTTCCACTCTCTCCACAACTTCAGTGACTCCTGAGGCTCCATTTTCCTCCTCTTCGCAGGTTTGCTGAGCAGATCCCTTTTTCTTTTCATTCTTGCCACCACGATGCATTCTTCTTCCTCATGGGGAAAAACAGAAGAAGGAAAAAAGAGAAAAAAAACCTGTGTCCAATACTGGATGATCCCACTGCTGCCACCAATTGTCAGGGACCAAGCAGTAAAGCATAAAGGACACAGGTTGTTTTAATTCAAAAAACGGGTTTTATAGTGATGGGACGTTCTGTATCGAGGCTTCGGAGCGTGTGTCGAGTAATGGAGGGGGCGTTTCCGCGAAGCGCGTATCGAGGCTTGCTTCATTTATGGGAGGAGCTGAAAATGATGACGTCCGAAGCCTCGCTGCCCGGCTGTACCACGTGACTGGTTCATGAAGTGGTTCGAACTTTGCCGCGAGATATGACAGCGATATAAACCCCTCAGACTTCATTCAAAAATGTGGGTGTTTGATGGAGAGTTGCGGTTAGTGAGAGTTTGGAGACCGTTTGGAGGTTTATGAGAGTGAGGAGAGAAAGTCAGGAGAGAATGGAGCCAGCTAAGAAGAGGAGGATGTCCTCCCCTGTGTGGGAACATTTTGATCTTATTCCTCCCAACAAGGTATGTAAATTTCTACAGAAGATGTATTTTCATGATACTGATGGTGCAATACAATTTATGTTGAGCCGTCTTGACTTTTGTACAAGGTGAAGTGTTTGCTATGTGCCAGGGAGCTGGGATATAACAACAACAACAACACCTCATCCATGCTTAGGCACTACAGAGCTTTGCATGAGAATAAGGGGAACACCGATTGTGGAGCAAGACCAGGTGAGCCATCAAATGCAATGATAATATAGCATGCAGTAATGTTACTAAATGATATAACAATATTATACAACTGTTATAAGTTACGTGTGTGATATTTATATTTGTGCTTTATCTTTATTGTCTTTCCTCAGGAGAACAATCTCAAATAGATGAAGACCTGGTCAGCATGGTGATTGAGGACTCCCAGCCATTTAGCATTGTGGAGGACAAAGGATTCAAAAGATTTGTTAAATCATTAAATCCTAGCTATGTTCTCCCCACTAAAAAGGTCATAAAAGCAGTGAAAATTTAGTTTTTACAGAATAAAATGTGAACAGGCAGGACTGAGGCTCAAAGCCTCAGTGTGTAGCTGTCCATACCTCAACGTTACAAAAGCACAACTACTGTCCACACCCCAACCACACCTCACCTCACAGTAAATGATCATTTCCATTTCAAGCATTTCCAAATAATCATTTCCCATACTGCCACTATAAATATCCACAGTATACTGCCATCACTACAATATACATATTTTACACACTCCTTTTGTTGTTGACATTTACAGGCTGTGTGCAAAATGCCACACTCTTCAAATTCATGCCAGCTATTATTTTTACGTCCAGTAGGTGTCCTGCTAGAGCAAATGAAGCTTCATGAAGCTTCGCGTTGGGGTGAACCAATTGGATGAAAAGCTTCAGTGCTTCATGGGGCTTCATCTGCCCATCACTAAGTTTTATTGACCCAAAAATATGAAAATATATTTAACAAAGCCAAAACTTAAACAGGCAGACCAATAAAAGAGGTCAACTCAATAGACTAAACTCAAGATAATAATTAACAGAACCTCAAACAAACATATGACAAACTGACCTGCTGAAATGACACACAGGGGGACTTAAATACTGGTTTAGCTAAACCAAATGACACACACGGGGGAAAACAAGATGGCTGCCATATAACCAACTAATACAAAACATTTAAACAAACATGAAACACCCCCCAGGCAATGAAGCATGTGGTGCAATCCAATTAGGCTGTCAGCAGTACTTCAGGTCTCCCAGCCCTTTGCCACACCTTTTGCCAGACAGGAGGAGACACCAACCCCCAGGTAACTCAAACAAAGAAAGATGTATTAATATAACATAAAACAGAACTTTGACCTTGCAAGGTTAATATGTGTGCACGCCATATAAACATTGGAAGGTGTGATGGAAAAATGAATACATTTAATAAAGAAACGATATTGAACAATAAATAGAATATTTTAAAGTAGTGACTGTAAATTAAACTAAAGTGAATCAACGGTAAATTCCTAAGTTAATTTGTAAATTTTTGTAGTAAACTGTAAATTGTAAATATTGTAAAACTTTTCTTCTGTCATTTAATGGTCGGGCATTGTACAGCTACAAGCATTTCACCCCCATGTCATACTGTGTATGGTTGTGTGTGTGTGTGACAAATAAAATTTGAATTTGAATTTGAGATGTGAGGGAGTACGTGTCTGTCTGCACCGTTTGCGCCCGCAATAAATTATCCACTAAGCACCCAGCGGACCTGCTCCACCCGCTTAGCACGCCTCATCGGCCTTGGTCTCATATTTCATTAGATTTCGTTACAGGTCTTCTTCGTTCCTCGGGAAAGAGCGTCATCCTCACCATCATCGACAGATTCTCTAAAGCCGCTCACTTCGTTCCGCTAACAAAACTACCCTCTGCCTCTGACACAGCCCAAGCCCTGATTGAGAATGTTTTCCGGCTCCATGGTATTCCCCTTGACATTGTCTCAGACCGAGGCCCACAGTTTACTTCACAAGTATGAAGGACCTTTTGTTCCATTCTGGGCGCGAGAGTTAGTTTAAGCTTGGGTTTCCATCCGCAATCTAATGGCCAGACTGAGCGGCTTAACCAGGAGCTTGAGGCTGCGCTACGATGCGTAGCGTCCCAAAACCGCACCCCCTGGGTCACCTATTTACCCTGGGTGGAATACGCACATAACTCACTTACCTCGTCTGCCACTGGTTTGTCCCCGTTCGAAGCTTCCCTCAGTTATCAGCCTCCACTTTTCCCTGAGAATGAACTCGATCTTGCAGTCCCCTCCACACGGCATCATCTCTGGCGCTGCCAGCGGGTCTGGCTCAGGGTCCGCCAAGCTCTCCTGCGGACGAAGGAACAGCACACATGCCATGCCAACCACCCCCGCCCAGAAGGTCTGGCTAGCTGCCAAAAACATTCCGCTGCGTGTGTCATCCCGGAAACTAGCCCCCCCGCTTCATCAACCCGTATGAAGTTGATGCGGTTGTTAACCCGGCGGCAGTTCGGCTTAAACTCCCTGTTTCCTGCCGCATACATCCCACGTTCCACGTTTCCCAGATCAAACCTGTTCGTCACAGCCCATTGTGCCCTCCGTCTGAGCCTCCTCCTCCCGCCCGGCTTATCGATGGCCACCCAGCCTATACGGTCCGGTGGATCGTGGATGTGTGCCGGCGCGGGCGGGGCTGGCAGTACCTGGTGGACTGGGAGGGGTACGGTCCTGAGGACCGCCTCTGGGTTCCACGGTCCTTCATTCTGGATCCATCCCTCGTCGCTGACTTCCATGCTTCTCTCCGCAGGCCGCAGTCCGGTCGGTCGCCAGGGGTCGACCCTTGAGGGGGGGGGACTCTATCATGGTCCATGGTCCTGTGTGTGTATGTGGAAGGTGTGATGCTCGGGTAGCCACACCCCCAGGCTGGGCCATCACCGGCACACCTGCTCTCCATCGGGGTGATTGCCTGAAGAGCTACTTAACCCGGCGCTGACGGATGCTCCACGCCAGTCCGTTAATCACCTCTCTGTGGTTTCGATCTAGCGTTCAGCGTCTGCCACCTGCCTGTCCTCCTGCTCAATTGGATCACCCAGTGCATCATCTGGCCCATTCACTATCTCCACGGATTCCCTTCTCACGGACTTCCCTCCCGAGCTCCCACGGTCCCGCTCTAATCGTAAGCCAACTAGTTTAACTCAGTCTTGATGTGTTTCCCCCGCTTCCGGGCTCCCTAATGATCTTCTCCCCTTTCTGTTGCATCCTCCCACGGTCCCGATTCCGGCTTCCTCGCCTCATTGTTTCCTCGGGTTTTTTAGTTCCTCGTTTTTGCTCCTCTGGTTTTCCCGGGTCCGCCTTTTGTTGTTATAATAAAGTGTCATTTTCTGCTAGTGCTTGAGTCTGCGTCTGGACCCTTTTGTGCACGCGCGCCGCGGCGCATGACAGAAATCAATAAATGATTTGAATAGTGGTGGGACTATTTTTAGAGGTCGAATGTGAGAAAACACGTCAAATACATAAGGTACAGAGGTGTTTTTTTGTTTTTTTTTTAATTAATGGAGCTTTCACAATACTACACTTAAGCAGCTTCAGTGGTGGTAATTACAAAAAAATGTCAAGGTAGTGTGAGAGTATAAACATAAAGCAGGGAAAGCGATTGGGATAACGGAACAAATATGTCATGGGTAAACTGCTGATGCAGGGACTGCGGGCTAAGGGAGAAGAATAGATTTTGGAGGAAGAGCATTCTAAAGCCTCATCAGAGAAAGCTGGTTGTTGACTGGACTTCCTGAAACAAACCGGAGTACGCAGGTGGATGGAAAAGAGAGACACAACTGACACATGGCCCAGCTGTTGTAGCTTGAAGGCACAGGAGAACTGCATGAGCTGATGACCCTTCTGTGTCAACTGCACACTGCCTACCTCTACCTGTGCATGAGGTTGGCAGCTGAACTACCGTTCACATGCATGTCGTATCCACACAGAGTGGGGAAAAAATGCCCCTCACCAAATGTTCTGTTTAACTTGTTAATTTACATAATTATAGCCCACAGTGGGTTTGTAGTACGTCTGTATAATCCACATGTAACTTTCACTGAACTTTTAAAGATTTCTGAAATCAGATTCATTATTAAAGGAGTAATTTAAGCTACACTTTTACATTTCCATATCATAAATACATAATTATATTATCAATAATGCTGGTTTCAAGACAATATGAAGATTAACAGTTCCTTTTTCTTCTTGCTGAGAACAGCATACATTTAGATAAGGTAAGAAGATGACAAAACACAAAATACAAGGTAGTCAACACAAATTTATGTGTGGGAAAGCAAATGCTACAATCTTGCAAGCAATAGAGAGCTGGAGTCTATCTCAGATGACACCAATCTACGATCACAAAGTCTGCGCAGACCTAGGAAATATGAAGTATTATTACATGTAGTTCTCATCTGCTTCACACAATAGCTGAGTATAATGTTTTACAATAGCAAACAGAGTTTAAGGTCATTTAATCAGTGCACCTATGTATGCATGCACGAGAATGAGCATCTTTGCAAATAGTTTAATTGCCAAGTACTTTGTGACATATAAATAATGGAGTAACAGTCTTTTTGGT